CATTAGTAATAGTACTCGTCTCCAACATCTTACACTTCACATACGATTTGTAGATAATTGCTACACCGCCTCCTGATCCAGTTCTGTCTCTACGGATTATTTCATAACCTGGAATATTCATTATTTTAATATTTGAGTGAACCTTTGTCTCAGTCATGCAAAAAATATCGATTTTATGTTCATGCAGGAAGTCAGAAATTAAGAATATTTTGTTTCGGATAGAATTTACATTTAGGTGTCCTATTATTAATGGTGTTTGGTGATTAAAATGTATAGATGAGTTTCCTAGTCACTGTGTGTCCATGTGACTTCCAGGGTCGGAGTTTCTGGTTCTTCGCTGCTTTTGTGTTGGAAATTGAATTCCGGACGCGTGATCATCTGCCGGTCGCTTATGTGAGCTACGAGATCTTGTTTGTACTGGAGTCCTGGAGTTTTGTTTGAGTTCTTGTTGTTTCCTTGTGAGATCTTTTTTGACAGATATTTTGTCGAATTGGACTAATCCCTTTAGATTCTTGCAATTGTCCAGAGCTAACTGTCTTTCCGTTGCGCTACTAAAGCGTAGCCTGACCGGTCGTAGAGATGATGTGGTGAGCTGTCCTATCCTTTCATCAAGTTTAAGAGAGGTGTAAGAAGTGGGGTAGATGATTTTAAGAAGGTCCGTGAGAAGTTTTTGTCCGTCATTTGTTTCAGGGATCCCCATCACCACCAAATTATTTAGTTTTCGGATTTTTCTAATCTCCTCGTCGTATTTTTCTTCAAAATTCTGGAAATCGCTTTTAACCTCGTTTTGGAACGACGTAAGGCTCTCTTGCATAGCTATCTGGTTTTCAACAAGTTTTTCTTTCTCCGCCTCCATATTATCCAGTCGTTTCATAATGTGCGATTGTGTGTCTTTGACATCCTTGAATTGTTTCAGCATGGTTTTATAGATAAGGTCGAGATCTATCTTTTTAGGCGATGAGTGGGGGGAGGTTTGGCGATCTGGGCTTGTGGTCGGCATGATTACCAGTCGATGTGGGCCTGTTTCACAATATAAATTATGTGCCAGTATCTTTTGACCAATATATTTGGAAGAGACGGGTCCTCTCAAAGGCAGGACATATACTTTAAGTAAGAGAACTTACTTTTGGTGAAGACTGTACTGGTGAGAAATGAAATTTTCCGTCCTCCTCCTTCTTTTTGTCGATTTATGTCGAATTATGATGAGTATGGCTATTAATTTTGTATTACAAATGATCAGGAAGGTTGGGGCTTTAAAACAATGTAAACGGTAATACTGTAGTTGCAGTTTAAAATTCTTAAAAATTATTTAAAACGATTTTAAAACGAGAGCTAAGATTTAATGTGTTGCTCTTTACAACCCAGCTGCTTTTCAGCTTTGTGTTGTAACTCCTACCAACTTTTATTTCTCGTGAAACGTATACCATTGAGAGAAAACAACTTGCATTGGACGAGTTTAATTACGTATAATTTTTAAGAAAACTGTTAGAAATAATTCTTTCAAGCATCCATCGTATCGTCATTACCTGAAATAAAACTATGTTCAACCCTGGAGCACCCTCACACTAGGAAGTGCCAGCAGAAGGTCTATCGTGTTTTCCAAGATTATCACCATGTACGTGCTCATAAGGGATTTCTTGACATCGAAGAAATTGTGGCCATTCAAGCCAACATAGCATTTCAGTGGTTGCATTGCTTCAAGCGTTTTCTTCCACTGTGCAGACTCTCTTGTGAATTTCTTCCACTGAAACAAGGTTTCGACAGAATTTTCGTGTATCCTAATTCCTACGGCTAGCAGAGTCACGATCAAGTTCAACACGACGAACGCACCGAACGGAAACATGATGTATATCCCCAAAGCCATGGAACTATTGACGAACCGAATGGCACAAAAGTTGAGGCAGGTAGAGATAACTAGTCCAATGGCCATCAAGAGGAAAATCCGTGTCGCTAGATTTTTTTCTATTTCTTGGTTGAGGATTTGAATTTGGTGAAAGCGGCGTATTTGTGGAGGGAGTGTTCCCGCCGCTGAACCAACAGACCTGAATTATTGAATGAGAGCTTCAGTTGGGTTAACTTTATGGATTGGTGACTTTTAACAAAATGACAATTAGGAAAGAGGCTAAACACCAATATCCCGCTTCTCGTGAGGTCACTACGTTCCTTACACTGCAAGAATAGCAAAAATGTGCAAGAAACTGTATGACATCTAGATATGCAGCCTTTATATTGTGGCGAAAGTAAGTGTAGTGAACCCAGAACAAGTTTCGTCATCTTGTAAAAAGCAAGACGGTCCCTTACCCTGATTCCATCAGGCTCTCCACAATTTTTGCATACAAACGTGCTGGTATCACCATGACGACTATTAAGAAAGCCATCATCCTGTACACCTCGGCAAATAGAACGTATACCAGCAAAATTCGAAGCAGAATTATGGGAAAACTATCCACAGAGATGGAGAAGGGTAGCATGTCTTCGAAAACAAATTTGTACACGTCCCGTCTTTCAATTCCCGTGGCCATGACAAGGGATGGAAGAGTGGCCGCGAATGGCAGAGGTGTGAGGGCGACGAAGACCGTCAGTCCTGCAACGAAAGGTTTTCACGGAAAGGTGAAGACATTTACTATATTTTATAATTAATAAACAGCACTACCATGCTTATCACTAATTGTAGCTAATCAATTCTTTCAAGTTAATTTTAAGCAGTTATTCTTTTGTAGCTAAAGACTTTCTATGGATGGGATGGGTTACGAGACAACGTAATTCGGGTTGTATATAAAATAAAAGTTGACTTGACTTGCTGAATTTAATGTGATCTAACACCCAACGCTCTAGGTCGAATAGGATTTATGAAATGTAGAAATAATTTCAACCTTACCAAACTTATCCAACCGGCCATCCTCCATAACCAAACTAGGCATCTCAATTCCAAACATGTTTTTGATTCTCGATCTCCCACCTTGTTAAGAATTGAGTTTAGGTTATACAAAGATAAGTTCTTCGACCAGGGACAGGTTAGGTAATTCACGTTTTTTCTGTCTCCACCCAATATTTGCGGTTTGTTGGTAGATGTCGTCATACAACTGGAGTATCCTGTTGAGAAATAATGCATTATATTCCGCATGACCCATTCCCACTATGATCCCCATGACCAGAGTAAATCCACACACGGGAAGTAATGTTCCAAACTGCAACGCGGTAACCAGGCTAATGTATGGTTTCGGGTGATACATTTGACCATAGATGACGTACACGACTGAACCCATGGAAATCACACCAACAACGATCCACATAACGAGGTAATACCAGAAGAAGGTTCGAATTCCGCCTGGCTTGAAGACGAAGCGGTTTCGGGTGGGGTCCCATTGGAGGGGTATCTTCCACAAGAAACTGTTCAACCGGAAGTTGAGACTTACCGCAAACCATGTGAGATCTGTCGCCATTACGAAATTTTTAGTTGTCGTTAGAAGTTTCCAGTTTTCTTGAAGCAATGAATTTTAGCCAGGCTGTAAATCCTACTGCTTAGTTTTTCTTACACAACTTCTTCTACTAAAGGCGACCCAAATTTTTTCTACGATATTACATATTACAATTCATTATCCATATCTAACTGGAACAGTTACGTTATCAAATTTCAAATCATCTTAAATTAAATAGTTTTGAACCGAAGTTAATGAGTTTTAGTCTGGATAATAATTAGCGTCTGGTTTCTGTAATTTTATTTATGACCAGAAAATAAGAATGAAGTATTTATGATCCGATTCCTCCTAACAGACCATGGATCCTATTCTTACATCAAACAATTTAATTACATATTTGACTTCAATTGAAGGAATTCAATTAAGGTTTGAAAACCAAAAATTAATCAGTACCTTGAGAATATTTTCATTTCTAACAAATTTTTGTAATTTGGTGAAATAATTTTTTTTAGATTGAATGTTGGTAAAATGGCGACGTACTTTAATTTTCTGAATTAGGAGCAAACATTCTGATTTTGACGGAGGTATTACTCAGAATTCTAGATCCTATTTATTATCAGTTCATAGGAAAATATTATCCTTATTTTACTTTTCCTAGTTCCTGATATTTTCACCAAATTTGCGACTTAAGAATTTTGAAGACTGGATTGGTAGAAGTAAAATGGTAGCTAGATTTGTACCAGTTATTAAAGAAGAATCGATAACATTAGCTCAAATTTTTTATGCAATACGTTGATTTAGATTTATATATTATGAACAAGGCACGGATATGGTCACTGTTAATAGAGGCAGGATGCCATAAATAAGTTCTGTAGATTGTTATGTATGCATTTAGAGGAGAGATGAGAGAGGAGAGATGTGTAGTTTAGGAAGGCTTTATTAATAATAATTGTGGTTGCATTATTACATTGCATTTTGCATACTATGTATGTACCTAACACTACGTATATACCTAACACTACCCTCTTGCAGGAGACTTTTTCTCCTGAAAAAGAGTAGTGACGCTAACTTAACAACGAGTGATTACGACGAATTTACTAAACTGAACAAAGCATACGAGTGACGAGTACGATCACTCGGGACAAAGGAGAGGCGGAATAACGTCCGCCATTATTCTACACAACTACACAACGAGGCAAAGGCGAGGAAAAATTCACTAAATTTTTAAATTTTGAAGAATTAACTAACAAAATTGTGTTCTAAAGTACAATCAAATTGATAAAATAAAGTGCTACATATCTGCCTCATCAAAAATTATGTCAGGAAGCGGATTCACAGCAAAGGTAAGTACTAAATACATATATATTTTTTTTGAAATTTTTGGACATTTTGGGAATTATGTCAGAAATAAATTGTGAAAATCATGAAATTGGTTAAAAATAAATGTATATCTAGTATCGACAAGCAGTAAAATGACTATAAAACTAATTTTTATGTTGATAAATTGCAGATTCCGGGTTTGATAACATCTAAGGGTACCCCTTGGGGGGAGAGCCCTTAAGGCTGGGGGGAAGGGGGGATTTAAGGGCCCTCCTTAGAGGTCAAAGGTCACCGGGGGTGTGGCTGTGGGTGGGGTGGGTGGTCTCGGGAACTTGGAAAAATTACTGGAAACTTGGAAATTGCTGGGTGACGTCATCCACCGACTGCCTCACTCCCGGTAAGCAGAACTACAAATATTGAAGCAAAATTATTACTCAAATGAATAAATCGTGATACAGAAATATTGTTTGATATTAATAATAAGAAATCGATGGTTTTTTGTGAATTAATAATAATGAATGAACTTAGTTATAATTTCCGAAGGCATCGAACTGGTGGACCGTAGTTTGGGGCGGAGCACTGGGCAAGGTTGACATCTCGTGGGCGTCGTGACGTGTCGGCAGTTTCTCGGTAGGTGGAGTAGCGTAGATAAGTCGGGGATTTGAATTGGTGCGATTAGCTAATTTAGAAAGATGGCGTAAAATGGTTAGGCCAATCAGGATTAAAATGAGGAGGAAAAGGACAGTAAGGACATCCGACGTGACTTCGATGGTTTCAAGGACAGGGTAGGCGTGGACTCCAGGAATTAGGGGGACTGGAACACAGAACAATTTATAAGTGATCCAAATTACAATAATTACAATCAAAAATAAAATAATTGAAGAACTGTATGACACATAGGCGGCTGCATGAATTTCCAAGGGCACGTGATGGGTGGCAGGAAGTGGTGGCGCGGAATAGTTTGTGTGAGGAATTGATTCATGCCATTCTTGGTTGATAATCTCGTCCAGGGCAGCAAAGTGAGTAGCATTGGTGATGATGGGGGTGCGTAATTTGGTGAAGGGGGCGGGAACAAGATGATGGTAAGACGGATCCCACTGGGTTCGGAGACAAGGGAAGTCGGGCGTCACCAGAATAGAGTCCACGTAGAGTCGGCTGGAGCAAGAGAGTTGTACTTCCAAAAGTCCAATTGTCGGGGCGGTAATATTCTTGTGGGTACTTCGTGAAGTTGGATATAATTTGATGGTGGAATTAGGGGCAATGATTCCGAAGCTGGCTGGTCCCAACTGCAGAATTAGTGGGTGGTACAGCTTAGTGCATGAGAGGTGGCAGTTTTGGTTGATTTCTGAGATGGGGGCACTTTTTAGGAGGGCTCGAATGCAATTATGTTCAGGAATAACAGGAGGATCGAAACGTGGCAGCAAGCAGAGAGCATTTGTTGTCGGGTCACAGTTGAGTGATATGGTCGGCGTGATGGGGATAATACGATGTTTGGACAGGGCAACGTAATTCACATCGATTTTCACTTGACAGACGTCATCGTTGAATAAAAAGGACAGGGGTTGGATTCGTTTCATTTCGTACGTCGTATTCAGGCTCACTAGGGGGATGCGAACAGTCGCAACCACTTTGTTCGGACTAAACAAACAAGTCGCTAAGGGATAGCGAAAAACGTCCTCCAAGTCGCTGGAGGGGATGCTGAGCTCTCTGTTATGTTGAAGTATCTTCCGTTGCAGGACTCGTAGGTCGCGTCGCAGCATCTTCGGGCTAACAATAAAGGGTGGGAGTAGTGACTGCCTGCAGTCGCTAAGGGTCTGGATCCAGTTTTGGTTCAGTACTGTCTGAAATTGGGCGACGGCCAGGGCAAAAAGGGAATGGTGGTCATCCTGGGCTTTGGATTCTAGTCTCTCTTCTTCATTGGCGATATCGCGTAACTCATTGTGAACTACTCGGTCGGTTTCGCTAAGGGCTTTCTCGAGGGCCTGAAAATCTTTGTTAAAAATTTTAGTGGACTCAACTGTGAAGGAATGCTCTGCTGTAAGGGCCGATTGAAGTTGTAGGGTGAAATTATCAAGGTGGTACTCGTTAAGCTGCATGCGGTCGACAGTTTTTTGTTGGGCCACGCCACAGCACCAATTATAAAAGTCGCCAATGATTTCTATGGAACGGCGGTGACGCGTTGAACTGGGGGACGGGAAAATTGGGAGGAGTCGAAGTGCAAGAGAGTGGGTGGCATTCAAAATTTGGCCGATGTCTGTGTCGTTAAGCGGTGTCAAGAGGCGGGTCCACTGGTCGAGGTCAGGGAGATCCATTTCGTAAATCAGAGGAACGGTAGATTCATAGGGAATAATTTTAACATTCGTTGTCAAAATTCCAGTTGAAAGTCGCGTAATTGTTGTTGAAAGTTGGTCTTTCGCACTAGTCAGGCGAGCACCAGAAACAAGTGCAACACAAAGTAGGCACAAAGGATTCATGATCCCTCTTGAAATGTAACTTTCTTTCGTGAACGAAGATTGTATTGGTGTGCAGGTGTTGGTTGTTTGTTATGTGGGAAAACTGGTGAAAGAACCGGTGGCGTAGATTGCGACAGCGTAGATTCGTATGTATGTGCTTGTGGAGAGAGTTGAGGGAAATCAGAGTCGAAGAGAAAATTATTTGTGGGCAACTGAGCTTGTTGCGAGGTCAGTGTGTCACTGGGGGTTTGAGTCGGAGAGCCAGGTGAGGATCGGGAGGAATGTGGTGGGTCTAGAGAAGATAAAACTTCCTCGTCAGCATAGTCAGCATTATCTTGGTGGTCTGCACTCTGAGGAGGGTCTGTACTTGCATCGTGGGAAATGTCCAGAGCAGAAGGGGAGAATGTGCTGACGGTGGTCTCATCAGTCGACCTAGAGTTGTATAGTTTCAGTTTCTCAACATGGGCGGTCTCCGTGATAACACGACCATTAGACATCGTAGCGGAAATTATGTAATTAACGTCAGAAAGTTTTCGCTTAATCATGTACGGGCCGAACCAATACTGCATTAATTTAGCAGCGAGACCCTTCTTTTGGATGTACTTACGGCAGAGAACTTGACTGCCTATAGGAAATTCAATATGCTTGCGTTTTTTGTCATAATAAAATTTTGCAACCTCTTGAGAGTGTTGGATTCGGTCCCACGCAAGTGTCCGAGCAGATCTTACGTGAGAAAGGAATTTCTCCAAACTAATGTATTCCTCAGCAATAAATGCGGATTCCGTGGGAAGGACCACCTCACGGCCGTAGAGGAATTCGAACGGGCTAAAACCAATCGTGGTGTGCTTGGAGGAATTAATGGCAAATGTAATATGAGGCAGCCATGTGTCCCAATCAGAGTGTGATTTGAGAGAATCGGTTAGATAAATTTGAATACAGTCATTTAGAACTGCATGGCTTCGTTCTACTTGACCTTGACTTTGCGGATGGTAGGCGGTGGAGAGCAAGTGCTTAATGCCCAAGGCGGAAGAAAGTTGCGATAATAAATCAGAGGTAAAAATTGTACCTTTATCAGATTGGAGGATAGCAGGCACACCATGGCGGCATATTAGTTTCACCAAAAAGTTGATAATGTCCTCAGTTTCGAGCCATTTGGTCAGGTAACATGATGCGGTAATGATGTATTTTTTGTTGGATTTACTGGCAGGAAATGGGCCAGCCACGTCTATTTGAACACGTTGAAAAGCATTTTTTGGCACTTTTATGCATTGGAAAAGTCCATTGGGTTTAGATCTGGGTGATTTCCGAAACTGGCATTTGGAACAGGTGGCTACATATCGCATTATTTGACGACGCATACCAGGAAACCAATATCGCTGCTTGATTCTGTCGTACGTTTTTGTAAACCCCATGTGTCCGGAAAATGGGCTGTCGTGACACTCATCTAGGACGGAAGGAATGAGTTTTGACGGAATAACCAGGGTTAGACGGTTATATTGGTTATCACGTTTAAATAGTACGTCATCTTTTAGTGTGAAATGCTCATTGATTTTTGTCCTAATTTCAGTTTGTTGATAATTATGGCTAGTTCAGGGTCGTCACCTTGACTGGACATCAAATTAAGAGAGCCAATTGTCAGAATAGGGAGGTCATCAAGCTCATCACGATTTGGTTGAAAATCTTCAGTCGGATAGCGACTGAGGAAATCGGCACATTCATGTTTCTTGCCACTCACATGGCGAATTTCAACTATTGTATAATCCATTAGACAAACAACCATACTTGACAGTCGAGAGTTGAGCTCTTTTTTTGACCCTTGGAGAAGCCAGCAAATCCCGTGGCAGTCTGTGGCGATGGAAAGGGGGACACCATAAATGAGGGGTCGCAGGCGTTTCAGGGCCCAACAGATGGCTGTGAGTTCCAACATGACTGAGGGATAGCGTTTCTCAGCCACGGAAAGAGTTCGTGAGATAAATGCTACCGGATGTTTCTCGCCCTCATAGAATTGGAAAAGTCCGGCTCCTAGTCCATAAGAAGAGGCATCGGTTTCTAACAGGGTAGGAAGGGCAGGGTCAAATAATCTTAGTACTGGTCGTGACAACAGTCGTGCAATGACCGTGTCGAAGGCAGCTTGGTGCTCTTCAGTCCACGTAATTTTCCCTCGGATGGTTGATAAACATTGTAACGGGTGGACAATGCGGGAAAAATTTGGTATATATTTGCGAAAATAACTGAAGAATGCTACTAGTTTCTTCACTTTGTGTCCGGTGGTGGGGGGTTTTAGCTGGGACACACCACGTAATTTCTTCTCATCGGGTTTTGTCCCCATGGCGGAGAGAGAAAAACCGAGTAAATTTATTTCGTCTTGGAGAAAGTCACATTTATATGGCTTAAGAGTGAGCCCTTCGGCGGCAATTCGTTCAAAAATTAATCGTAATTTTTCCAATGCTTCTTCTTCGGTTGCTCCAGCGGAAACTATGTCGTCAAAAAAAATTCTGGCAAACTTCACCCTTAAGGCCGGAAAGTACTTCATCGAGGAGCTCGGCGAATCGGGCGGGGCCATTTGAGACCCCAAATGGAAGAACGGTGGGGGCAAAGGTACCCTCACGGGTCACAAAAGTTGCTTTCTCCTGGGCTTCAGGAGTCATAGGTACCTGGTAGTAGCCTGAGGTAAAGTCGAGACTGGTGAAATATTTCTTGCCACGCAGGGACTGAAAAATATCATCAATGCGAGTTTGTGGCCACTGGATCTTTTTGGTAATACGGTTAAGGGACCTGTAGTCTACCGTAAATCTTTGAGAGGTCAGGTTGCCGTCGTCATCCTTTTTCGGGACGAAAAAGCAAGGAGAGGACCATGACCCACGGATGGGACGTACAATTCCTTGGGCTAAAAGTTTGTCGACGTGACTTTTGATGTCTCTGTGAATCTTTTCTGGGTGATTAAATTGTTGCATTCTAATGGGAGGATGATCTCCGGTGTCAATATCGAATTCTACACGGTCGGTTCGCCCTAATTTGGTTGGGTCCCATGAAAAAATATGCTTAAATTCCGTGATCAGAGAAAGCAACTTGGCTCTCGTAGGAGGCGAAATGTTGGGATTGATTTTGAGTTTGGTCAGATCCATAAGAAAAGGTGGCGGTGAAAGTTCAGCTGCAGCTGCCGGTGGGGGAGAAAGTGCGGCTGGTGGTGGAGAAAGTAGGGCTGATGGTAATGGCGGTGGTGGTGGAGGTAAGGGCCCCGAGGCTGCTGGTGAACTTGTTAGGGATGGCAGAAGTGGTTGGGGTTTGAGGGGTTGTTCTGGTTGTGTCGCGGGAGTCCGCTGAGACGCATCAAGTAATTTCATGTCCATATTTCTGTTTAGTGATTGCATAATTTCTTTGTTATCGCAGGAATGGAATAATCGTTGCGGGGCGCTTGTATACGGGACGGAACCAAGGATAGGAGACATCAAACAGCGAAAGGATTCGTTGCTGGACAGAAGGAAATGTTCTTGAAAATCATGCCCAAGGAGAAGAGGACATGGTGATGAGGGAACGACGAAAAACGGGTATGTCACTTGTTGGGTGCCAATTTTGAGAGGTAGAATGACCAGACCGCAATCTCTAATTGTATGATTGCCAAAATCCGACAGTCGATAAGGTAAATTTGGGTTAATCCGGGGTAAACCAACAGCAAGGGCTTCTGTGATGATTGAGGCTTTAGCACCATTATCGACTGTTGCAGTGATTCGTTGATTATTGATAAAAGTGTCGATTGTTACGGGGCCATGATTAGCAGAGAAATCCTGTAGGTTGATGCGTAAGTCAATCGTATTTTGGTTAAAGGTGACATGTCGGGGTCCAGCAGGATCAAGGGAGGGGGACGATGGACGTAGAATAGATTTTAAAGGCTTGAGGGATGGTGGGCAGATCAATCTGCCCAAAGCCGGGCGTTTCCCGACGGGGGCGGTGAACCGGGAGGGGTACGCGTTGAACGCTCATCCCACTGATGGTTTTCACGTCGCGTGTCGTCACGATCCGTAGTATTATGATGGAAGTTGTCACGGCGACGGGGAGATTCATCATGGCGGCGTTCCTGAAAGTCTGAATTGCGACGCTGATCGCGGGGGGAGTCATCTCGGCGACGGTAGCCACGGTTGTCATTGCGACGGCGGTGGTCACGAGGAGAGTCGTCGCGGCGGCGGTTATCGCGGCGGTAGCCAGCACCGGAGGTATCGTTATTACGATACCCACCATTGCGACCACGCCCTTGGCCGTTAAGTTGAAGGCCATCATTTTCTTGCGACACTCTATAATTCTATGTCCGCGGATGCCGCAGTAGTAACATTCAAATGAGGGGCGTTGTCCGTTAGGACGAGGCGCACGATTATCCTGGGACTGATCTGGGCGAGATCTTGAGCCGTGATTTTGGGAGGGCGACACATTAAGTCGCATGATAGCAGCTTGTAGATCGCTAAGGTGATTAAGCAGACCTTGCATATTCTTAACATTGGTCAAATTCACTCCGAGTGACAGGCCTCCGTCAGTTGCATTATTCACGGGCTTAGGCTGAGCCGTGGGCGGAGCTAGTGGGGTTACTGGGGCCTGGTGGAGGCCAGCGAATGCGTCGAGTCCAACAGATTGAGGGGGAACGGTTGGGGAGATAATCGTTACGGGCGGTTGGAGTTGAGGGGTCAGTGTTTTCTGCAGGCCACGGTCTTCATAATGCTTCACAAGTGACACTAAGTCACCATAAGTCAGAGGAGGTCCTTTGCACTCGAGGAATTGACGTAGGGAAGGGTCCAAATTGTCCATAAGGAGTCGAATGATATCTGGTTCTGCATGGCGTGTGTATTCCTCAGACATTGCAGCGCGAAGTCGTTGCAAGTAGACCGATGCTTTCTCGAGCTCTGGTTTTGGGGACTTTAAGAGGTCCAGGACGGACGTATGATCATCAACCTCCATTGGGCATTTGGTCAGAAAATTGTTAATAAAGGTAGCCCAGTCAATAAGAAAAAAATGATAAAACATGAATTTACGAACACACTTAGCATCAATTGCAAAATCAGAGACGGTCCGAGAAGAGAAACAAAGAACGTAACCAAGAAAATTTCGAAAATTTAACCAAAAATTTAACCCACGCCATAATCATTAAAACTGCTCATAAAGAAGTCATACTTACAGTTAAAATCTTTCATGGTGAAAAACATATCAGAGCATTGATTTCGAAAAGGACTTAATAATTTCGTTAATTTGCGTAACAATTTTGCAGATATAGATTCAAATTTGACGCAAACATTAACAAACTTGTTCCGAATACTTTCAAAGATAGGGACACAGCAAGGACAGGACCAATTTTTTGTGTATAATACACTAAAGTACGATGAATCAGACATAGTAAGACAACATCGTTTCCTATGAAAAAAATTAAAACAATAACAACATTGTAAATATCCTGCATTCCAATCACGGTCCACAAAATCACCCTTCCACAAGACAGTATAAATGATTCCATTGTGTATTGCTTGTGAGGTAAAATCGCGAATGACCTGTCCACACAGATGACATTCCGGACCGAGAGAGTGGTCGAAATCCCAATCCGTATAATCAAGCTTATAGTTTTTTCCATTCATCCATTTTTCCATCCAAAACAATTATTCTTGTTGAGTTGTTAGCCAAAGGGACGATGTCCTCAACAGTTCGGTCAGCAAATCCACCATTCACGACGAACACGTTGGTTGTAGGATGAGCGAGTCGAATGATTTCCTTCTCCTTCCCTGGGGTCAGGGAGGCAGGTTCGGCCTTGAACAGAGTCCCAAGCAGCGACAAGAAAAATGCTTTCACCAGGGGTGAGGAAGTTTAAGTAGAGGAAGGAGCGTAACAAAGTGAGGGGAGGATTGCACTAAACAAATACTGTTACTAAAACTGGAAATCGCAAGTTTTCCGAACTTGATTTCCTTACAAAATTCGAACCCGAGCACTATTGCTCGGGAATGCAAATGTAGTGCAATCTGACCGGGAGGAGTGGGGGCGCAATTTAATATTCGTCTCCACATTGCACTCACAAATTAAAGTTAAATATTTAGAATTTTCAATTTATTATTTTGTTCGTGTGAGGAGAGCGAGTTGTGTGCAGTTGTGACACAACTGTACAACGCCATTCAAAATATATATATGTATCACAAAAGTGTACATCGCAAAACTAGGTGCCTTAGAGCCCATCCAGTTGCGCAAACAATTTATTGGTAGTGTTTAACTAGCAATCTAACTCGACAAAGTAATTTAACACCGCCATGACGACCAATAAAACGATGAATTCTATATACTTCAATCGCGAAATAGTAATCAAGATCCTCATTACATTTTAGATTCTCATGTATTCGAAGGTATTATTTGCTAGAAAAGCTCTTATAAATAACTCTTGACTATTCTGTCAGGATACCTTGTCGCGAAATTTTTACCTTTAAAACTCCCATCAGAATTTCTTAGAAATAAAAACTGCAAAAATTTGCAAAATAATTTGGCAAATTGGGATTGTTAAGACAGAAAAAGTTCTGTATTATTAAATTCTTACATATCTTGTGGGTGGGGAATTTAAGGAAACTTAGAAGGATAATTAAAGCAAATATTATTGGCAATATGTTATTGCAATATGTTAATAACGTACAGCCACGTCTCCCAATTTCAAAAGATATTTCGCAATTTTTTACTGGATTTGATCAATGTCACATCCATGTAATTGTGCGTTTAAGGCAAGATTTCCTCGCAACGGCGGCTTACACGGTTGCCAGCATTGAAGAATTTTCAGTCACCGAGGATTATCTTGATATCAACTTGAAGTTTCCAATTTCCAGGCTACGTTTCCCAACATGCATGCTCTAGATTCACGCAGGTCTTCAAATTCATCAAAGGGTGAATTTACGTTCGGCCGCTGTTTCCGTTGAACATCAGCTTTATGACACGAATGACAAAGAAACTGATACGCGGCCTGTTTTGGAAAATTCAGAAATATTTGTTCTAGTTTAATTCACCCAGCAGAAATTTGTAGTCGACATATTCAAGATTTTCTTGGTTCTGCAAGCACATCGTTTAGTGCAGAACGGTTTGTGGTAAGGTTTATTGACCAAGTTGATAAACATGTTTTAAATTCAAGGTACTTTTTTTGTGTCACTTACAATGCGATTGTGTGAAGTGCAACTTAGCGATTTGGCGAAATTGGAAAATTGGGTGGTCCAAGTCAATACAGCAAATGTTTCTTCAGGCAGTTTGTGCGATGGTTCGAATTTGTCAAAATATTTGGGGTCAAAGTGAAAAAACGGTCGATTTTTTATAATTAAAATTTTACCCAGCGGAGGAAGCAAACGGGCCTTTCGATCCTTTCAACTGGAAAAATCGTCATTTTTTCAACTTTGACCTCAAATATTTTGACAAATTCGAACCATCGCACAAACTGTCTGAAGAAACGTTGGTTGTATTGACGTAGACCACTCAATTTTAAAATTTCACCGAATCGGAAAGTTGCACTTCACATCATCGCGTTGTTAGAATGAGCCTAACCTTGTAACTCGAAAAATTAGAATTCCAACCGAATTACTAGGTAAATATCTCGTTTGATTTTACAGTACCGGAGTTGTCTATTTTTCCAAGAAAACAGCTTCAAAACGATGGCAAATTAATAACGATTTGGAACGTGGGGAGAAATTGATGTCTCGCTTTGCCCCACTCCTTTCTGTAAACCCGCTTAGTATAGTTCCCTCACCAGACGAGACGGAGTGGCGTAACATTTTCTTTGCCGTTGTGTTGTCTATGTTGCTAAAAATTACAAATTCAATCCTTATGTGGCATGGCTTGCCAGTAGTAATTATTAGGAGAAAAGATGGTTCAATATTATGCGATCAAGACCTAGCCACATTGCCTAATATTGAAGACCTGATTTTTGTCCCCCTGAGATATGAGGAATTTACCATGAAGGATCGTAACCATGGATATCATGGTATTAATGGACATTAATGAGTGAAATAGTTAACATACATACAATTCCAGGCTGTGTAAATTGGACTGTCCGAACTTTTAATGGCCCACAATTTGCACACATTTCCTGTCTTTTGAGCAATTTAACTTGTTTGGCACTTAACCAACCGTGATGGCAAATGTATATTGTAAACCCACTTATATATGCATGTATATGTAAATACGTGCTTACTTACGAAGGGAAATACGCAAACAATAGGTTAAATGTAAGCCAAGTTACCATGTTCCAAGTAGAGAAAACTTCGGCAAATTTTGAGCCCTGTCTGGTTCCATCGATTTAACTTAAAGGTTTCAACATAACCTCTAAAACCGGGGCCATCATCGCTTCATTTAAAAAAGTAAAGGCACTTTCCTGCCCGTGTAGGAAAATAGAAAACACGAAACATTCGGCACCAATTCTTCTCGGTTATGACTAGATCTGAATTTATTTGCTCTTTTA